TAATACCCTACAGCGTCGATGATGTGATGAGTATCAGCACCCCTTGACGAGAAGGCTTTGCAATACACCTTGCAATAAACTGGCTCATGATGAAGGAAGAAAATAAAATAATAATCAGCTGGAGAAAACTGCTACAGATCAAATTGAGAAAGATTTGGGATCAAAAATAGAAAGGTAATGGAATGGACACAGCAAATGTCTATTATAACCAAAAAAACTTCCTTTTTCCCTCCTATTTTCTAGAAAATTCTTAGAAAATCCTCCCAATTTGATGGGACATGTTACTTACATAAATGGTAATAATTCAAAATATCTCTGTGTATTTTTTTGGAGATAAGGCACCTATCTTATGGTCATCACAACTCCATCCTTTCCCTAAGAAAGTCTGTGCTCAGTTCCCAAAGACCCAGAGGAAAAGGTGATGAATCCAAASGGATTTATGGATTATAGCGTTCTGACTGCTGACCCAGGAAAACATTTCTATTCGGAAATAATATATTTAACCTTTAAACCAATGAAGGGTTGGTGTAAGCCCGTGCTCAGGGTTATGCATTCCAARTGGTTCCTCACTGAGCAAGCAGGAGTAGACCAAAAATATCAGGAAGTCAAATCTCTTGGAGCATAAATGATCAATCTTCCATAAGTTAGTTATGGGAACTGTAAAAAACTATTAAAATCATCTTTTATTAAGCAAAGCAATCAGCAATTTTATCCGTACAAACACATCTTAACAATATTTTGCTTTTTATGTAGCAACAATTAACTGTTTCTGTTACAATTAACTGTCAACTGTGATATAATTGCATATGGGAAATAGAACTTCCTTTAAAACATCATCTCATCCAGGAGATCKTACAAGTCAATGTGCTACACAGTCTACATGAGGGATTTGGAAACCAGCCTTCTACTGAAGCAAATTTAAGGGAATTAGGCAGGAGAAGGTGACATTATTTACCTGGATGAGCTGTTAGAAGTACCTGTAAGCATCTCTTAGGATGGCTGGAGATGCAGAGGATCACACGTGATATTGAAGACCCTCATGAAGTTGCACATGGGATGTCTATAAGACTTGGAAATTAAGRCAAAAATTGTAATTCCCACCTGAAAGAGCCAAGGGAGCAACCAGAGCCTGCAACCAGAGTCGGGGACCACAAGTCCCTGTGTCACCACAAGCTTCCAGGAACTTGGGCGCTTCTTCAGAACCCTGTGGCTGGGGGAGATCATAATTCTCACCACTTTCACATTCAGCCCTAAAACCAAACTGCTAAGCTTTGGTTTTAGTAATTTGCCTTCCTTATTATTATTATTTTTCCTTTCTTTTTCATATATCATAGTTCGCTGTTATTTCAGCGAGTATCAGTGGAAAGAACACAATTTAACCATTTTTTTACTGCAATACTGTTATAGTTTTATAGCTAGTCCCCAGAATGGTTCTTACTTTTATCTGGGAATTAATTTCAACAYGAGCAGCTACATTTGAAATAAAGCCAGTGAAATTTTATTTTCTCACCTGAAATGCAAGCTATTCTACCCATTTTAATATGACATACTATTACTGTACTTTATCTTGGAATGTATACCACATAGCCCCATATTTGTTGCTTTAATAAAAAAAGACTTCACTCCGTTTTTATTATCTTTTATTTGCTTAAGGAAATGACTGGCTGAGATGAACACACGCAATATGCAATAAAAAGGACATGGATTTTTCAGTTAGGACTTCTGTAAAAGGAACTTGCTTTTAACTGGTGGATGCTACTGGCAAAGAAAAATATTACTGTGTCTAAACCTCTCCTCCTAAGTAATATTATCAGATGTCAGGATTGGTCAGATATAAGATTCTTTGAGAAGAAGAAGGCAGATAAATGGAAGAGAATAGGGCCAAAAAAGAGGAGTGTCTCTCTGGTTCTTTACTACTCCATTTCTAATACCTAGAAAGAACTTACTATTTCTTGATTCTCATTGTTTTAAGGCTGTTTGGGTCCCTTATCAGTTTTTCTGAACTGTTAAATGTTAATGCTTGATATATAATGTAATACACTACACACATATAAACCTAGTATTGCATCCGTAATACTTTGTATTTGCAACTTGCTTTCAACCTCGTGGAGAAGTTAGTGCCCTACACTGCACTTGGAAATATTCCAAAGAATTCCTGCAAAATACTGCATGCTGCCAGGACTGCAGAGCAGATATGGCTCCAAATACAGAGAATACAGATAGGGCTCCAAAACGGTTCAAATCAAGCAAAACGGGTCAAAGCAGACCAGGCTCAACCCCCAGCTGAGAGAAACTCACACAATGAAGACTACCAAATCGTGCTAAACCACTTGAGCATTTGTGKCCTTGGGATTTTCCTTTAGGGGGATTTGGACTGGCAGGATGTAATTAATTAGGTCCCGGTGCTGGAGCTTCAATAGGTCACTGGATTTAGTACCTCTGATCTTGTCGTAGGTGCCGGGGATCTTCAGCAGCCCAAAAGCAACAGGGACTTCTGTTTCAATGAGGAAAATAAAAATGGGTAATGACCTTGTGACCATTTTGACTTTGCTTATCATAGTTATTTGAGAATGAGCTTCCAAGTTGTAAAATAACAAATGCATCAACACCTTCACTTATCTCATCTTCTATGAGAAAACCATTCTCCCACCAATCCTAAGAGCTCTTCTATTTTGCCAGGAACTTCAGCCACCATATGTGGCAGTAGCCTATAACCAACCTCAGCCTGTTGGGCTGAGGAAGCACTGACCAAGCAAGCATCCCTGCTTGGAAACAACTGTGCAATAACAGAATATTCCTCACAAATATGTATAAGCCATATGCTTAGGTAAGTATATACTACATAAAGAGTAAAATAAAGCCCAGGTTACTGCACAAAAGGAAATCTGAGGTGWCCTAGCTGTGCGTGTGCCTTGGTCGTGTAGATTTTTGAAGGGAACTGGGTATCTTGGCTTCCTCTGCTCCTTTCAAAGAACCTCAGGCCATTTTTTGGGGCTGCTGAGTCTGCCGTAAGAGTGGTAGGAATGGCAAAAAAAGCAGTTCCTGCCCAAGTTCAGGGCACACTGGCTGTGCCCTGTGCATGGAGACACCTCAAGCATCCTTGCTGGAGAAAACACTGTGAAACCTGGAAAGCTTCGGAGAAGCCTTTTCAGGAACACACACGCCTGCATCTTCCATAAGCGTGTTTCACTCCCAAGTGAGAAAGAAATCTCTCCGAAACAAGATTGAAACTACAGCCCACAGCTTACCGACTAGTGCTTAAGTGGAAAGCACACAGGAAAAGTGGGAAATTATACAGAGCTGGTATGTGAGGAAAGTCAGTCTTTGGCTGCCCCACAAAGCTTATGGGAAATAAGATGTCAATTAAAATAAAGAATCCCATAATTCTACATAAATCTCCTGATTCATCCTGCTCCCTTCTAAGCTGGTGCCAAAAGTCCCCCCGACWTCATTGCAGACCTGACAAAAGCTGAAGTTCTCCACAGCCTTTGACGGGGCTAAGAATGGGCCACGTGCAATACGAACTTGTATTGAAATACCTGGTGTTTAGAACAACTTGATCACCAACAAGCAGTTTCCAGTCAGACATTAATGAGCTTTGTTAATGATATATCATCGTTTTTAACTAGTAACAAATTGAATTTGAAAAAGTTATTTAACATCCACACATCCATTTTAAATAACTGTATTTTTCTTTAAACCTTTTTGTTTAAAACTTGTAATTTTATTAGCCATAGACTAGGGACAGGTGCAAAGAAAGAAAAATAATGCAGTTCTGAGGCTGCAGCCAACGGGTGCTACTCCAGCACAGCGCAGTGCCCACTTAGCAATTACTGAGCTTTCTAGCACATTTTAGGAGRTTTTGCCTTCCTCCCTCCCGCTCGAGTCGGCCCTGGTCACACTTTGCAGCTCTGCAGGGTGTGCTGGGCTTCATCCACCTCTTCCTCTCCCGTTTGCAAGGATACTTGGTGAGGGCTGCCATGTGCTTGCTCACCCCAATCCAAAAGCCATTAGTATTTGCTCTTGCATGTGACAGGACACCACACACGTGGCTGGGGACACCAGAGTATTCAACCTCATCACGTGCAAATTGAACAGTCCCATTCAGAGAATCATTAAGGTTGGAAGGGACCTCTCGAGATCATCTAGTCCAACCTCCCYGCTCCAGCAGGGACAGGTCAGTCCCGTACAGAGCAGGTACACATTACGCTTAGAGCCCCAGTGATCACTAAGTTCTCCTTACGGCCACAGGGTAATGGAGAAGCGTTTGGCTGAGGGAAGAGCGAGCAGCCAAAGTAACCGTTCCCCTCCAGGTATGCTAGGGCCAGGCTAAGGGGAAGCTTCGAAACCATTATTAGTGTAAAAGCACCCACTGAAACCAGCGCCAGCAAAACCTCCACCACTGCTCTTTCTTCTGCGGAAAACGGGGTGGAGGCSTCATTTTTCGTGAGTCCACGGGGATTTTCATCACCTCAGGAGCTCCAAAGGCAAAGGACCAAACAAGCTGCCCAGCCACCAGGCTTAACCGAGAACAATCCAAGCAAAGACTTGCCTTGTTCTGCCCTGGGAAGACTCCAGTGCTCCCAAGCGTTCCCTGGGCTAAGGCCAAGCCTGCAGCTCTGGCAGAGCCGCTTGAAGCCTGTGATCCCTAACGCAGGAAACCCATCCACCCCCTGCCACCTCGGCACCCTGAGGCCAACAAAACTCTTTGGTTTTCCTCCTTTCACAAGCCAAAAATAAACCCCAGGTGGATTTAATTAACGAGCCCTGCAGGAGGATGCYCGGTGTCTTTTGACAGCCCGGTGTCCCAAGGGCAAATGGTGCCGCCGGCGCCGGCCGCTGGGCTGCGGGATTCCCGCGCTCTCGGGATGAGCGGTCCCACCGCGCGTCAGCTCGCACCGAGAGCCTGATGTAAAGAAAACGGGAAGAGGGAAACTCCTCGGCGCCCGCCCGCCCCTTATAAAAACAGAGCGGCGGCACCGCAGGCCGCGGGCAGCGCCATGGCCGCGCGCGGCGGGACGTGGGCGCTGCTGGCCGCGCTCTGCCTGGCGCTGCCGCCCTGCCTGGCGCTGCCGCCGGCCGCCCGCAGCATCCGCGACTGCCGCCCGCGCTCCCGGGCGCTGCTGGCCGCGCTCGGCGGCTCCCTGCGGCGCCTCCAGGTGAGCGGCGGCATCAACTCTGTGTTCCCACGTAAAGCTCTAAATCCACCAGGTCCTACCTGCCTTTTTCTCTTCCTTTTTCTCTTTTTTTTAACACAGGTGTTCAACACACTGGGATTCGAGTGCACCCTGGAAGAGGTTGACTTGGAGGATATCACTGCGAGTCAAGTGAACACCCTCAAAGCCTGCATGTCGGAGGACTCGGGGGTATAAAAGCACACAATTCACACAAAAACATCAGAAAAGGGTGCTGAGAGTATTCACGTATTCATCACGCTTCTGCCAATGACCAGGTGTCTTTTTCTTTGATTTGCAGGCTGGAAACTGTCCAATGCTGGAAAGAGATACTTTAGATAAGGTAACCCACATTTATATGCCCAAAMAAAGCTTATTTTGAGGGCTGCATGCTCGGGAAGCATTAGCAACTGATTCCTATATTTCTAAGCAATTCTGACTTTTGCAGAATAAATGCCTGCAAGGCATCTACAATGATCTGAACACCTATAGGGTAGAGCTGAAGGATTTCAACGACCAAAAGGTGCTGACGACTATTGATGAGATGATGCAAGTAGGTATTTCTGTCTCTTTTTTCCCCCCTTTCTGTCATTTATGGCTTAAAACAGAGGTGTTTCTCCCATATGTTCCATTTAATAATGAATAATGGTCAAATAATGAACTCACTGCAGTGGTCAAATAATGAACTCACTGCAATGAAGTTATTTAAAAATTTTCTCTTAAGGGCAAAAATCCTAAGACCCTGGTACTAAGTTCTTTATTCTGAATTATAGTGCATCTTGTTTGGTACTTTTGTCCTGACAGGCAATATTCAGATTTAGGAGTCCTCATTCTTTGCAATTGCTCTGTCCTTGCAAGGAGCCGGCACGTGCGGTTTTCCGCAGAGTGCTGTAGAGTCTGAGAGAACTCCAAAGAAAAAGCCTACATAGCCTCATTCCTCTTCCAAATAGCACACGATTACACGGCTGGGAGGCTGGATATGAAGTGGGCTGTCCTGAGCGTTGGCCCTTGCTATGGGTGAGCCCAGGGCGCTTTGGGTTTGGGGGCTGGTGCTGCTCTCTCACGGCGCGCCCCTCGGCAGGCGCTGCGCGGCGGCGGCCCCCGCGCGCCCCGGCCCTCGTCCCGCGCGGCGCTGACGTTCAAGGAGCGCATGAGGCTCTGCAGCCTCCTCCAGGCCTTCTGGATCCGCACGGTCACCATCAACAGGATGCTCGACTACTTGGCGTCGCTGGAGAGCTCCCTGTGAGCCCTCCGTGCCCGCAGYGTGCTAGCCGTCAACTGGATCCACCGCTGCTGGACTGTTAAAGGAAGGAAACAGAGCAGGGTTAACGTCCTGCAACGTATTTGGGGGCTTTTTTTAGGAATTAAGCACATAATTTTACAGAATTTCTTAGCAATCGAATCATGTTTTAATGAACTACTGTCAAAGCCTTTTAAGCTATTTTGTTCCACTTGAGATCTTTGGAAGATAAGCTATGTTTCACAAAAATGTTCTCAAGCAACTGAACTCAACTGTATTTTTTCTTATATGTCCTATTTATTCCGTCATAAGTTTATATAAGTTTAAATATCTTTATACTATTTCTATTTTATATTTGATACTTCCTATTTATTGCCTAATAAAATTTTAAATATTTATTAAAACTCTGATTATCTTTTTTCCTTTAGTCATGTTATAACATGAATCAATAKGATCATACTTCTAAAATTTTATAGTGCTTGCATATAATATTTTATATATAAGTACATACATATAAAATATATAAGCAGTATACTGTGATACAGGACTGGCATTAATTTAAAACCCATTTCCCATACTATACGTTTGGGGGGAGTTTCTCTCATAGTGGGAAGCTCAATTTCCTCCTTGTTTAAAGCAAATTTCAATCTCTTATACAGTTCATGGGTGAGATCCAGGCCTCACAGAACTCAATGGTCCAACTGTTTATTTCAGTGGAGCAAGGCTTTTCCGCGTGCCTCTTAAGGTCACCAAGGAAGAATGGATCATTATTTCCTAAATTCCTACCGTGTTTAAGCTCGCCTAAAAGGAGCGGGGGTGGAAGACGGAATCCMCTCTGCAAAATCTCTCCGATGGCCTCTAAGCACTGAATCCTGCAACACTTCTGCCCCATCAGCTGCCGTGCTGTTCCCGCTTCCCACTCGTGGTTCTCCRGCTCTCCTGGTGTTTTTCTCCGGCTCTGTTCCCTGCTTGCTTCCTGCCCTTGGTTCTTGCAGCCCCCCCGAAGTTCCTTGTGCAGGAGCTGATAATTTTTAAGCTTTTAGCCTGTGTAAGCTCAAGTGGGAAGCACAAAGGCAGGCGCTGTGACAGCAACGTGGTGGCCCTGTTTCCATCACAGAGGAAAAACTTTGTAAGTGTCCAGAAMGGCTCCATTTCAGGTTAGTAGCTGTCTTAGTTGCTTTGAAAAAAAACATTTTCAAAACTGTTTTACCACTTTTACACGTTTTTTTCTAAGGGGACTTGCAGTCTCAAACAAACTCTAGAGGAAAACTACAATTTAAAATTCTGGGACTTTTTTGTTTGTTGAAAGTATCACAGAATTATGATTACAAATTACTCTTACTAAGAATAGCACAAGGAAAGCTTCGTGATAAACTCCTCTTTTCTAACTAAACAGAAAGACAGAGTTTGCTTCCACAGCTGAGCTTATCCAAAGGGTCAGGTCTCCACCTTTGYAGTGATGCTTGGGCCCACGATGTCTAATCCAGGGATTTGCCACTAGCTGGGGGGCTCTTGCACAGTCACAGATGACTTAGAAAGGAAGTAATAACCTTAAGAATACAAAGCATGTTATTTCCCAAGAAAAGCATTTTGTATTGTAACTTGGCATCACTCATTAACACCGCTTACTAGTAGTAAAGCGTGTAGTAACGTTTTGGGAAACGCTTCCCTTAATGCCTTATTTTATGAGTTGAACAGTTTCATACACAAGCATGAAAAAAAGAAAATAATGGCAGCTGTATTTTTATTATTAGTGGCTACGTACCGGTGCACACGTGGACTTGCAGGCTCCAGAGAGCTCCTGGCCGCTGCCGGGGGAAATCCCGCATGGAAAGGGCAGAGCAGAGCGCAGCCCCATGGCACGGGGTGACACCCGCTCCCCACGGACAGGAGGTGTGTGAGCCCCAGCAAAGGGACACACGGGGTGTGTGACAGTGCTGCAGGTGCAGTTTGTCAGGAGATTAAAAAGGAAGCCCGAAATTCTCGTGCAAATAGTGTAAATCTCGCCTTTTTAATTCTTATTTCTAAAAGTATGCTTTTAATACACATACACTGATTAAGACGATCAAGCAAATCACAGTGTCTTTAAAACAAGACAATTTCCTTTCTAAGGTAGCTAGCTCTCTTCTACAAATAAGGTTACTTTAAAATCTTTTATAATGGTGTAGTACAACTATTGCCTAGATAGTAACCACCTTTTTGTGAAGTGTGACTTTTCAGGTTTTAGACTTCTACTCAAGTTAATCAAGTAAAAAAGTATAAAAAGTGGTAAAAAAATACAAAACATACAAATGTATCTCACAAAAACTGAGACAGACTATACAGAAAACAGTCAATAACAAATGAACAAAAAGCTGCCCATAGTTAATATAGATGCAATAGTCTTTGATTTGTTAGAAAACAGATGCATAGAAGAGCAGAGCTGGAATGTACAGGACTATATACAGTGATTATGTAAATGGATTTATCCACAATTKTGAGCATATTCTTCCCTGATGTTAGGCATCTGCRAGACGTGCAACATACCTCATGATTTTGGTCGGGTTTTTTTTCCCAAGGTGATGATATAGCTTATAAAAAAAACTTCTCCCTCTTCTATTTCCCTGATTCCAATAAGGCTGCCTCAAGAGAAAAACTCCATATAAAAAAGAGGCGAACCAATTTTGCTGAGTCTCACTTTTAGAGTGAGACAAAATTCAGTGGAAGTTTGAAGTTTCACATTTGCCTAGACGAGCACCTCCGTTTTGACGAGGCAGGCACGATGACTGGGATCTGAACACATGACTAACTGCTCCTGAAAGCATCCAGTTCCCTTCTATCAGTGTAGGATTTCACGCCCATGTCTTTCAAAGATTTTGCTTAAACTTTCCGCTGACTGAATAGGGCTTGAATCTTCATATTGGAAACGCACTGAGATCCCAGGTAAAGAGTTTGAAATGTTGAACTGTTTGGCTGAGGGACCTTCCTGAGTTTTCTCCTTTTAGCTGCTTCTCCACAAATTGGTCACTGAGCCAAAAAGCCTGTAGAAATGAACACACACAAACATATATAAATACATACACACACACACACACACACATATTACTGGATCTGTAGAGCTTACTACAACATCAGTGTTGAATACTAAATTACACATACATGTGTCTAAGGATCAGGTGAGTGGAGGAACACGAGCAACTGTTCCTTCTTTAAGAGCCAGGTCGGCTTTATGGAGAGTTACAAAAGCTGTGTCTGTTCCAAAGAACATTATTTGCAGTTTCTCAGAAAGCTTCTCCCTACCTAGTTGAGCACTCAGCCTGTGGAGCATCTTTTGGATGTGCTACACTGATGGACATGAGGAGTCCTGCGGGTGTTGGTARGACTGTCCACGTGCCGTTGGGAAACATGTGGAACTAGTCTGGAGGATTAAGCCTTTAAATTTTGTGGGGGACAGCGTTACCTCAGTGCTATTTAGTAAAATCTCTGATGAAAATTCTCTCAAAAATATCTGAAACATAACAATGTAATTAAGTAAACATGAGAAGAGGTTGATCCATACCTTCCAGTATCTCGAYGATGTCATACGGCGCCTTATCCTTGAGGCTGTTGTAGAGACTTTTTGCTGTTCCATTACTCTTCTCTCTATCTCTCCACTTGCTCAACATCAAAAATTTATGAATATTGACCTCATTTGCCTCTGCCTGAATCTGCTGGATGTCCTTCATTTCCAGCTGAAGACACTCGATGGCGATTTCTTTCCACTCTCTGCCGAACCTCTTGGCAATGACCATGAGCTGCTGGTCAGTCAGTAAACTTTTTGTTTTAATGTCATCTGAAGTGATACAGGACAAAAATCAGAATCAGCGTTGTTCTTATTAGCATTCATTAGCTGCATTAGACAAATTATTTTTCACTTTATTTGTCAACGACTGTGGTGGGTTCGGCRCCCCCCTGGCCATGAGGGAGCTGCCACCTCCTTGGTACACTGTTGTGCAACTCATCCTAGATGAGTTGTCCCTCATGAGCTGTGGCCTATCCAAAACCTTCTGAAAAGAGTGTTTTTCCTGAAAGCTAGGGTTACTTCAAGGAGCTGAGCTGTGGTTTTCCTTCAGTTACAAGAGYCGTGGAGCCTTGACAGGAATCGACTGCCGGGATGCGAGCGGACGGAGAGGACGGYGTCGCTCTGCCGGTGAAAGCTCTCCCTCTGGCGGCAACGCATCCCCACACACACAGCCCTTCACTGTTAGCTCAGCTCAAACCCGCACGGACTCAAACAACAAGAATATTAATGCATTTGATAAATATCTGTGAGATTCAAATGCTRTTAGATATTTTCCCCCAAAGGAGAGCCCATGAAGAGCAGGTCCTGGAGGCAAAGCAAGGCTGCAATTGAAATACAGCATAAAACCACCAGGTAAAGCTCTCCCTGATGCTTCTRGACAGCATTTCCAACCATTGGTACCATACACAGGAGCTGATTAATTTTTCCAGAAAAATTCAGCCTGTGTTATAAGGAGATATCCCAAAAGCAAAACCTTTAAAAGCAGCCCAGTTCCCAGTCCAGGAAGACAATACCCTCAGAGCTGATCCTCACAARCCCACTTTCCCCACTGCTCATCTGCTGCTTGAAGGAATGGCAAAAAGTGGRCACTGGTGCCCCAAGGAGGTTTGTGCAGCCCTCTCTCTCCTTGCATTTGCTGGTCATGTTCATTGCCATTATTAGAAAAGTTAATTAGCTCTAGAACATTAATTCAGCGGATGCAAGAAAACTCTAACCCGGTAATTCAATCCCCCCCAGAAATGCTCCACCTGCAGTATCGCTGCCCTTCCACTTTTTCTGGTAGTATCCTTCATCTTCAGAGAAATTGCTGGTGGACTGCTGCCTCTTGACACCTGAGAAGGTAGAACAGTTGCCTTAATACATCCATGTCTTGTATGCAGTACATGGAAGGTAAGAATGTGCCAGAATAAAGTCTGAAAAGTGACTTACTACCTGTCCTTTTCTTCTGCTCATTCCTGTTCTGATCATGATGTATCCAGTCCCCTGAGAAACAATTTTCACACAAAGAGGAAGATGAGGGAGCAGCTCCTATTGCTGTGCCCCACATGCAAAAGCTCTTGTGCATGGAAACCTGCCCGTGTTGGCCTGTGGCTGAGATATGGCAACCAGGCTCCGCAGTGGGGYTGGTCCCCGCTCTTTTACCCAGTGTGTTGCAACCCATCCGCACGGCCTAGTGGGCAAACTCATCCAGGGCTCACCCACACATGGCTACCTCCCCAAATTGTCCCCATTTGCTGTGGGRACAAGCTGTCAACCCAAACACGTGCAACTCACTCTCCCTCAGCTTTGCCTTCCATACGACCTCATCGGACTCCAGTTCAATCAGGGACAAGGTGAAGTCATCTGGCTTCTCCAAATAGACCTCGATGTAACTCTTCAGCTTCAAGAGAGAGCCATCCAGAAATTCAATCTCCTGCAAAGGGAATTAAGGATGCTGAAAATAAACATTGGGTCAGTGATAACTTCAACAGATAGCACTGATGGTCTACAACAAGGTTCCCATCTYATGGAGTTGGCCACCATCTCCAGTCATGGTTTGGCACATTGTCTTTCTGGTGTTTCCACCATTGGGAATGTCGCCCAAATCCCTCCTGCAGATTCACCAAGGAATCTGTGACCCTGAGKACCTCACCTCTGGTGTTATCTCAGCTTCAGGCTCACAGACTAATCGGTATCTTTTTCCTTTCTGCAGCTGCTTTAGACAGACAGGTGGCTTGTCAATTTTCATGAATTTCTTGCTGGATTGTTTCACTGCTTTCGATATATCCTAAAGATTTGGAAATGCAATTTAAGTATTGCTCGTCCCAATGARGGAGCTGCCGAAGCCTGCACTGACACAGTGCTGGTGGCGTTCAGGCGCTTCTCCTCTCCCCAGCTCTACGAAAGAGACCCCGTTGCCCAAAGCCCAACAYGCTGCCAACAGCCCTGCCGAAAGCAGCCCTACCTTTATGAAGGAGTCATTGTTGGTGGCCACGTAGACGCGGAAGGACAGCGAAGGGTGGTTGTCCACCACCTTGTAGAGGACCACGGCGCCGTGGTAGAGCACCGGCTCCTCGACCCGCAGCAGGGGCCCCACGGGGGACAGCGAGCTCACGAGCCACCGCACGTGCGTCGGCGTGTACTCGGCCGGCGCCTCCAGCGCCGCCACGGACCCTTCCTTGACGTGCAGCACCTTGAAGGCCGGGCGCGCGTCGCCGCCTGCGAGGACGACGTGTCGGGGTGTCACGGCCCCGGGGCCGGCGGGCAGGAGGGCGCGTGGCGCGGCACTCACCGAGACACAGCGCRTGCGGGAAGCCGATGGCGGCCAGCGCGCCGGCCGGGCTGCAGCCGACGTCRAAGAGCGGGCCGCCCACCATCCAGGCGTCCTCCACCAGCTCCGCGTACTTGCTCCACGACAGCACCGTGTACCGCACGGCGGCCGCGCGGGCCACCTCGAAGATCAAGCCYGTGGCGCCGCACTGGTAAGAGCCCTCGCCGTCCAGCTTCAGCCTGCAGTGGCACCGCCRGCACCGTTAGCCCAGCGCCCCAAAGAGAGCTCGAGAACCCTCTTGCCAGCCCGCCCGCGGCGACCGATCCGCACTGCTTGGGRAAAGTGACAAGCCAGGGATTCCCCACTCCAGTCCCACAAGTGCAGCGGCCACAACAAAGGTTAGGAGGCACTTAGGACTAAGCCTGCCACTTGTAACAATTTTGGAGTTATTGGACAGCCCTCCACAATATTGGGGCTTGGACAATCCTCCACCTTAACTACAAATATCTTTGTGTGGCAAAGTACCCTTCCTTCCCCTCAACCTGAAGGGAGAAGGATCTCAGTATGGACGACTCAATCACATATCTATTGCATTAAAATAACGTACAAGTACTGCTCTCCAGACAGTTTCCTCGGCATCACCTGCTCCCTCTGGTCCTATATAGATAAAAAAAAATAAATTAAGAAGGTGCAGAGAGATTGGAATTGCAATTTTCARATTATCCCATATAAATACAATTTAAAAATAAAAAGAAAAAGAAAACATACATTCTCATATCCACAGTGTTCACAGTGTGGCAGAGAGTTTGCACCTAATGAGAAAACCACAACATCAGCTCATTAAGATCAGAGTTATTGGAGGCACAAGGAAAAAAATAAAATAATAAGTGGTAATCTGCTAATACCTGACTCATGGCAGCGTGGTGGTGGCGGCACCTCTTCCCTTTCTTGTTCTTCTTCTAGAGGAAGGAGACACATAAGGCACATATTTAACACCGTCCTCTCTCAGGGGGACCTTTTGCCAGCACCAAGAGCTCTGAACCTGACCCTACAGCTGTAGGAGATGTTCATGCAAATACAGACAGCAAATACATCTGTGCATGCACTGGACCTTCCTCCTATGCTTTCATTTTCACCAAAAAAAGGGCATTTTCATCAAAACTTGCCATGTCAACACAAGATCACTACACCACCTTCATGCATCCCAGTAGGAATCACCTCTTATTATCTCAACGATGCATTAAAAGCCAAGTCAAAAAAACAATCCGGAAAGCACACTCACCTGCCTTTCCCCCATCCGACTCCTCGGCATCTGATGAGAAAAAGCTCCCATATAATTTAGGCCAAGATTATGAGGCTGGCGCGAAACGCAAGCGCCGGCAGCAGAGCACGTGCAAGGGGAAACCCGCCGGCCGCACAGCAGCAGCAAACGCTTCCTTCCATTCTCTCCCTGTCCATCCTGTTTTGCTGCTTCAGCTGCCAACTCCAGGGGCAGATTTATGGCCTCGCGGCGCCCGGGCAGCTCCCGCGGTGCAAACACCGCTGTGGGGCCGCGGCAACGGCGGCCGTGGCTCCTCCCGGCCGGCCCTGCTCTTGGCAGGGCCAAAGGGGAAGTAAACTGCATGCAAAAAAACCCCAATTTTGTCTTTTTGATGTTGCACCGCAGAATTAACCTGGTGGTGTGTTCATAGGGTTACATCCTGTAAAATGTGTTTATCTATATCTATATTTTTAAAGCTGTTTTAGGTTAATTTTATGGTTTTAAAAGGGGGAAAAGGCACAAGTGGTGTCACAGCTTCTCACCTGACTCATCTCCAGAGGTGCTGCTGGAGCCACTGGCAGAGCTGTCCTCTCCTGGGCAAACATCACAGCCCGTCAGTCACAGCAGGAATTCAGTAACAGATAAATCACAGATACGTATAGAGATACACACATTATAATGCAGCCAGCTGGCCGGATGCAGAGGCCGGAGGATACCCAGAAGCAACATACCGCTCTTGCAAACACAACCCAAAGGAAAAACCACCCTGCAGAAGCGATGCCTGCAGGCAACGCAGCGCTACGTTCACYGCGGTTTTACAGTCAGACAAAACAAACATTATGGGAACGCCACCTCCCAGCGGCGGCCCAAAGTGAGCTTTGCCCATGGTGCAAACACAAGAGCGGAGGATTTCATGGGAAACAATTAAGTCTGCATACACAAAGGAAGCAGCGCTGCGAACGGCAGTATTTTAAACCGTTTTCTGCCTGTTTCTGAGCCCCGGGGCTGGAAGCGGCCGCCGCTTACCCGATTTACAGCCGTGGTCGGCAGCTCCGTCGCCGTCGGCRCTGCAGGTGTCTGCATCTGGAACAGAGCCGAGGGCAGAGGCGCGTTTCCCATGGGGAAAGGGGAGCCCTGGCGCTCGCCCCGCAGGGAGCATCGGAGCAGGGCACGGAGATTAGGCAGGCGGGTACTGAGCTGTCAGCACCAGATTAACGCTTCCGTTGGGCTTTTTATACAGCACGAAGATGAGGAAAGTGAAAAATAACAAAAGGACTTGGAAAAAAAAATAAAGTATAAAGAAAGTCTTAATTGCAACCTATAACTACTACCTGAGSCCCTGCAAAGAAGCAATCCTAAAAATGAGCTTTTAACTGGGAAAAGCGAGCGTTTTGGACAAAGAGGATCCAAAGGCGGCCGTACCTGTCTCGTCGGGAGAGGGGGATTCGCTTCCGCTGGAAGACAAAACGGGAGAGGCGTGAGGACACCCGCGAGCTGCYGCTCCCGCGGCCGGCCCCGGGGCTCGCGACGGGGCTGCGGCTGCCGCGGGASGCTCCCGAGCCCCGGGGGAGCCTCCGCGGCGGGCTCGTCCCCGCGCTGCCGCCGCCGATGGGGGCAGCCCCGTGCGGGAGACCCCCCCGCGGCAGTAAAGGCGGGAAGAGGCGGCGGGAGGCGGCGCCGCGCGCGCTTTGTCTGCGGCGGCGGCGGGAGAGGGGGCGAGGAGCGGGGCCGGGGGGGTCCGGGAG